TGGAGAATGAAGAAATTAGCAGAGACATAACTTACCAAACTCTCGCTTTATGAGGGTATTCGATGGTTGGTACGATGCGCGATGGGTACAGCATATGTGAAACGCTTCAAACAATGGGTTGAGGGATATAATAATTTAGGCTGTCCGCGAATCTGCGCTCAACAGTCTTGGTATTAGAAAACAGCTTAGCGACATGTGCATTCCTTGCCAAATGATTTAACTATTGCTCTCTAGATCAGTGTATGATCGAATGTAAAGATTTATATTTTCCAGATCGATCAACGAATGACGAGGGATGAAGAACACAGCGAACGGTCGTGGAAAAGAAAGTTCACGCTTTCGTGATCTTGTGGAACTGTGAGAAGAATAGTAACCATTACAGTGACTGATGTGCATACTGTAGGCAAGTCGTGCTCTAGGCAGATTTCTTGCGCGAAAAACAAAACTATTAAAATATCTACATATCGATTGAATTTTTTTAACGGACCTGTATGCTTGAAAATCAAAGTTTTTTACAAGATCAGTAAAGCTACTACTTTTTTATGTTCTTTGCATCGAACCTGTGAATTCTTCCATGTGTTAGTCTAGTGCTTTGGATAAAATCAGCACTTCTTTTGCTCGAAATACAAGGACGGGATGAGATTGAAAAGATATTGAATATCAACGTTTCTTAACGATGTTCAATAAATATTGTATGAGAATGTTGTATTCTCTTATATTTTTCAATAGGAGAGCATACAATACTCACTTTTATTCGCCCTATTCACTTTTTGATTGAGATGATGGTCAGTTTGGATAGCAAAGAAATGTTTTCCTCCTCATGTAACCGACAAAAATGCACCTTAAGCGCGGTGACCTATTACATTCTGGCTTCCGACGACTGCAGCGCGAAGGGTCTTCTGGAATTTGTCACACGGTTGGATATAATAAAACGTTCGCAAGGCATCAAATTGATTAACCATTTCTCTATGACATGGTCGTCACAAAAAAATGAATACATTTCAAAACGTTTTTCTGCGCGATAAGCAACATAGAAATGAAATTATCAGACATATGTGATCACACATGAGGGAGCCTATTCATAGAACTGCAAGTTCAAAACCACGATTTCTTGGAGAGACTGGGCAAATGAAAAATTTCCCGTTGTTATTAGATGTCCATAAGAAAAAGCTGAAAGCCACGGCTCAAAATGTTCATGCTGTGGCATTAGAGTTTCTTTCGGCATTAATGTGGGGCAAATTGTTCCTTATAAAGCTTCTTCAAACCTTGGCACACAATGCTCAGACATATATCATTGAATTTACGACAGCTGTGGTCATATGAATGCAGTGTCCATTTGGCTGACTAGATAGAGTAAGCACCGTTACAAAATATTTAATAGCCTTTCTGTCAGTTTCTGATACAATCTGACCCTGACTTCTGCGCAACGCGTCTTTCGAATTCGGTCAAGCGACTATGGGGCTGACTCTTCGCGGTGATCTTCATTTCGAGTCACCCACACCGTGAAATGATTACTTGTCAATGACGGTCTACCGTTTGGGTTCTTATCTTGTTTTGAATCTACTTTAAAGCAAATCTATACCGCTGTTAATGATTTTTAGCCCTATACGTGAGACTGGATCATATACCAGTGGGCCTTTTCTTTTAAGGGTTACTGATTTAAATCAAACTGAACTACTACGACTTTGAAATACATAGATCACACATCAAAGAAATCAAACGAATTATAGATGCAGTTCAGATTTTGTGCGTCAGCTTTCCATTTTTGTAGAAAAATACGCGTTCAGATCATGGCCAACAAGCAAATAATTAAAAGTTTGTCTATTAAAACCACAATTGTCGGTCTTAATCTTTTGAAGCAGTGTATTGTCCATTTATTCCTTTTACACGGATATCGCTTTCAGCAATGTTTTATGTCGTTCGACATTGGGTGATTAGTGGCTGCGCAGTTTACGGCTGCGGGGACCCCTTGGGGGCAACGTAACCGGTGGTTGAGGAGGTAGCGTCGCCGGAGGAGGGAGCGTCGCCGGAGGAGGTGTCACAGGTGGCTGTGTCACTGGTGGCTGTGTCACTGGTGGCTGTGTCACTGGTGGCTGTGTCACTGGTGGCTGCGTTACAGGTGGAGTCGTCACAGGGGGCAACGACACTGGTGGCTGAGTCACTGGTGGAAGCGTTACAGGTGGCTGCGTCACTGGTGGCTGCGTCACAGGAGGCAGCGTTACAGGGGGAATCGTCACAGGGGGCAACGTCTCAGGTGGCAACGTCACTGGTGGCGACGTCACTGCTGGCTGTGTTACAGGTGGAATCGTCACAGGGGGCAACGTCTCGGGGGGCAACGACACTGGTGGCTGAGTCACTGGTGGAAGCGTTACAGGTGGCTG